GTCATAGTTTCGGAAAATACACTCCTGAGTAAGTCTGAACAGTCACCAAAAGAATAACAGATGTAAATACTGGTACACACAGACATGAAGATGCAAACTTATGCAACAAACATCCTGAACTATGGAAAAATCAAGGATAAACCAACATTATGCAGCTAAAGGAGACTGCGAATAAACAAAAGGTTACATTATATTGGTCTTCATATGTACGAAAAAATTAGCCCGTCATTAAAGCAAGTTGGGAAAAAAGAGATACCGCCTTGACGTCAACAACCCATGCCAAGGGACTAGATAGTAATAACCTACAGGCAGAGTGAACTGATTCTGGCCGTTGTGGAATATTCAGAGATGCTGAAAGATAGCGAACTCTAAACTGCGTAGAAACGGAGCAAACCTGGATTTCCGGTTTCCTGCCCTCACTCCATCTTGCGCCCGGTTCAAAAATATCATCGGCCATGGTGCCGTCTGATGATGACATGGGCGACACTATCTCCAGTCAAGATCTATCCTCGCCAGGTCAGAAGTATTTGCCGAGATTAGTCTCATGGTAGGAGACCAGACCGGATTGTGAAGAAGTTAATATTAAAAGCCGCCTTTAACGGTTGTCAACCGGTGGCCCAACAAGGTCAGACAACCACATTCGACCACACTTAAGCTGTTCAAGCATGAGATTTATGCGTTAATAAGCCACTTCATTTAGTAGTATCATAAAAAGTAGTCTGGTCTAGACATATGCCCGAGTCACTTTTGGGCTTATGCAATCTCGGCTAAGCCTTAACCTGGGTCATTAAACCCTGATCAACCAAACGTGAAGTAATTACTCTGAGTTACACGCCGACATTCAGACACATACACTCAAGTGCACGTAACCTGGTTAATATGAAAGAGAACAAACACAATCACATTACATCTTTCTATATCTATACATTTTCGTTTCTTTTATGAGAATATGTGTAGCATGTAGTGGCAATGTCAGTCAACTGACACGACTTACGGAAACTTGTTCCATTTTCACGCGAAATAAAGGAGGATATCTCATGGTCTGCGTCAGCATGAACGTCGCATTAAGGCCAAACGGCTGAAGAACAACGGGAATCACCCCTAGTCTTCTAGGAAGACCTACGAAACACTCTTCTCCATTATAGTGTTATCTCAATATAATTAACAAAATCCAGTTATTCTTTGTAAATGCATCTGACATCACTTCAGCTCGGAAAGCTTGAGAAATGAGCGCTAATAGGATATTCCAGTAAGTAGATTTATTAGTAGTCACCTGATTGTGATGTTTCAATCTTAAATTATCTGGTGTCAAAATGTATGCTGAAGAGATTCACGGGTCAATCACACCAGAAGACGAAAGCGTTTTAGTTTGATTGTTATAGGACTTTCAATCAAACACGGTCTTAGAGACATATTCACCTTTCGTCCGTCATGCGA